TGAGGTACCATATTCTGTTACTCAGAATGGCAAAACTTAAGAAAAGTCTAAAGTATTTGGAAGGTGGGAAAACAGACCTTCTCATCCATTCAACTTTTGTAAACATACGCTTTGGAGCGAAAATTGGTAGTTATTTAATAAAGCTAAAGCAGCAGCATCAACCTTGTGTTCTAGCAAACTACTAGATTTATATCCCAGGGCAAACTTTCTCCAATGTTGACTTAGTTGTTATAATGGGCACTACTGAACAGATGCCAGGGATGCCAAGCACTCTTGGTGCCTATAGGTAGATAATGCTGCCCCATGTCTCATGTCTTTTGAATATTCTGCTGGATACTCACTTAAGGAACAGGGGAAACAAATAAGGTCAGATATTTATAAAAAGGATTTAAAACGAAATATATTTGTGTTGTTTTAATGTAGATGATGATTTTAAAGAATGCAACCACTGTGTAAGGAGATTTTGTTTTTGTTTCAACTTTTATTTTTGTTTCAACTTTACTGAACTTTTATTTTTCTTTCAACTTTACTGAAAATAGTTCATTATTTTCAGAAACTCTTTTACCGACAACAGTGCCACCACTCGTATTTGAATGGCCAATTCAAAACACCTGTTTTAAACTTCATTAGCAGCTGTCCTATTCATGGTGATACTACCCATTGGTGCAAAGTATCTGACTACTATTTCTTGTAGCAGTGTTTCTTAGACTTTAATGTGTACATAAATTCAGCATCTGAGTTAGTAGGGTAGGTCCTGAGCTTCTGATTTCTAACAAGCTCCAAGAATTCTGACATTACTGGTCTACTATCACACTTGGTATCAAGATGTAGTGTGGTTGAGCCCCAGCATTTACACAGTGACATATATTACTTTGTTATAAATTATTTCTTATATTTTAGTAGGAGCATTACTTTCTCTAAAACATGAATTTAAGCTTATTAGTATGAATTTCATTTTAGAACAATATTGGGGAAGTTGCAAAATATTTCTATAAAAATGAAATATATGATCAAGAACCACTGCCCTAAAGGAAATCTTGCACATGCGCCTAAGTAAACATATGCAAGCATATTCCCTACAGTACTGCTTAATAAGCAAATAATTGGAAACAACTAAAATGACCAAGAGAGACCTGATAATAGTCACATAATGGAACACATACCATATTGCAGTAAAAATAAAGAAACTAGAACTACCCAAAGAAACACAGATAAATCTTGGCAAATTGAGTGAAGAAAGCAATCTACAAATACAAACGCATTTAAGTAGTCTTAAAACAGTCAAAGAAAAACTATATAATGTTCATATATATAAAGGTATGTAGTAAACTATCAACATATGGATAGGAAGCATGTCAGTTTGGGGTTAGAGGTGTGCAGTGGAAAAAAGCGTAGAATTTAAGAGGGGTATATATTAAGTACTACAAAGAAGCTTCATTTTGTTTTGTAGTTTTATTTCTTCATATTGGTAATGGGTGCACAGACATTGATTGTATTATATGTTGCCAATACGCACATTGCTATATCATTTCTCATTACACCTGAATTGGCAGAAAACTGTTGGGACTAGACAGGCATTTGGATACCACTGCTCCAGCCAAGCAAAGGATTTAGGACTAGATGTCAGAAAACCCAGTCTTAAGTCTCAATTCTACTTCTTACAAATTGTGTGGCTTTAGGCAATTCAAATATTTAACTTCTCTGGGCTTTATTTCATCTGTAAAAAAGTCATAAAACATCACTTTTCTCCTCCAACTCACAAGGCTGAGTTTAAGAGGCATATAAGGCAATATATGTGACAACTTTTTAACAGAATAGGAAAGGTAGGAGTAATTTTTGAGAATTAAGACGTATTAGAAATAAAACCCACCAGTAAATAAACCAAATTAATTTGTCACTCTCTTTCTCATCATCAGTGATTCTAAAGATATAATACCAATCTTAACATGGGAAAAACTTTATCAACTCCTAAATGGCATATAGATAGGTACGCTCTCTATTATAACTATTTCTTTATGCTAATTCTTCACCAAGAAGTTGAAATTCATAATTCTGAAACAAAGTACTCTTATTTAACTAAAACACTTAATGTCACATAACCAGAATAACTGTTGGTTCTCATTGCCCTTTCTATAAGGTGAGCAGGTAGCACATTTTATTAGCACTATACTACAGATGGAGAAACTGACTCAGGTGTGGGATAGCTTGCATGGAGTTGCGGATCAATTCAGTGACAAAACTTGGAACAGATACTAATAACCTAGTTTTGTATCCATTAGCTATCCAAAACGTTATTTTGCCATCATGCTTTATGGTAATTTTATTTGTTACAGGAAAACAGAAAATTCTTTGTCAGATATCATTTCATACACATTTCAAAATGGGTAAAGATACTCAAGGAAACAAGCCACTTATCAACTACAGTACCGTTCAGCGAGAGACAAAATTAAAACTGCCTAGCCTGCTAAAAGTCTAATCCCATCCTTGCCAATTAACCTTATTTAATTAACCTTATTAATACTAGAGTAGGAGAAAAGAGAGGTCAAAATATGGGTGAGGATGCTATTCATTTCCTCCTGGATCTCAAATAATATTGCAATTATTGCATAACAGGAATTTTATTTTTATTTGTGGAAACATGGCTATCTCCACTGTCCTTTAAGTAACCCGCCACCCCTACTCCCAAAATAAAAATTTACCACCAAGCAGAGAGTTGAGCAGTCTTAAATTAGACCACTGGAATTATGATAGTTATCAAAACATTGGCAATGATTAGATATTAGATATGTCACCCAAATAAGTTTATGCTATAAACATACGAAAAGACAAACTCTTTATGAAGTTCGTTTTAAGTCTCCTTGTAAATGTAAACAGATTAATCTTTTTACTCGGACTCATTAGTTTAAAATAATGACACAAGATATCCAAAATTCTTTTTATTAATTGGGACCTTTAAAGAAAATCGGTGACTCATCTTGCGAATCAAGTATTATATATTACAAAAAGTATTAAACTGGACTACCTTTTCATAAACTGTGAAATTTAAAGGTCACCCTCTCCTGTATTCCGTTATTCATCCTTTTGCTTACCAAATCCACCTCACACTGACTTAAATCAAAGCATCGTTTTTTAAAAAAAAAATTATGTCGTGGCACTGGCAGAAATCTCACCATGGACATTCTTTTTTTAAACAAGAAGAGGAGGTTAAACTCTCTCTTTTCAAAAGCCCTCCATAACCCAATCTAACTTGACAGAACTTTCATTTCGGGATTAAAAAAAAAAATCCAAACATAAACTGTAATTTTCCAATTCAAAATTCCTGACAAGTCTACCCCCAGAGCTCGAAAACAGGTGAGATTAAAGTTCAACCACTTAGAGAAAAAGAACCCTACGACCGGCCGGAATACACAAATCACCAAGCACCGGACAGATTCGATCTCAAATCGAGGCTGGCACACGAGGGCATTCAGGAGAAAGATTTCAGGCACCATGAATCTCAGTGAGTCAGGGAGGGGAATGTGAACCTGACCCCATCTTTCGGTCCACAGGGAGAAAAGCAAAGGAAGTGAAATGAGACCCTTCTCGGCAAGGACCCAAGACCTTTCCCAGACCGTCTGTTCGTCCCTTCTCCGCCCCCAGGTTCCCGCAGCCTCACCGACCACAAGGATCCCACTACCTTTACCCTTCACGACACCACTGGAGAATCTTTTCCAAAACGCAGACCCGATCGGGAGTGGCTTCCCCGCCTTTCCCCAGAGTCGAGTGGGATCCCGGTCGCCAACAACAAAGACGCCTCCCGCTCCCCTCCCCCCGCCCGGCCCCGTTTCGTCCCTCCCGCGCTGCGGCTCCCGGCCTAGCACCCCCTCCCCGAGCCCGGCCGCAGCGGCCCAGCCCCACGCGGCGCCACGCACCTGCACCTGAGGGGCCGCAGCAGAGGTGTCAGGCAGAAAGGGCCGGGAGAGAACCTCTGCCTACGCGATGTCCTCCACAAGGCTTGATCCGCGCTGCCGCCGCCGCCGCCGCCGGACTCTCCCGGCCTGCGGGCGGGTCCGGCCGAGGAGGAGAGATGAGGGCTGCAGTCCCCGGCGCCGGGACGAGGAAGGACGGCAGCGCCGGAGAGGGTCGGCTCGCACACCCGGAGTCTCGCTTCCACGCGTCGGCTCTGCTGCTTCTCACGGGGTCGCGTTCTGCTGACTAACGGCCCCGGCGCGAGGCGCTGGCTCTGCCGCCGCCGCCGCCGTCGCCGCCGCCGCCG